GAGCCGCGCATGGAGACGCCGGGGAGGTGGCGAGACAGGCACGGTAGAGACCGCACGGAGCCCGGTGCAGTGTAGGTCTAGGTGGCACGAAGGTGAGTGCTGGCTAGAGGTGCAGCCGGCACGCAGAGAGGGGAGCTATAGGGGCAGGTAGGGATGGCCGGGTTTGGGGGGGGAGGGGCACGCAGAGAGGGGAGCTATAGGGGCAGGTAGGTATGGCCGTTTCGGGAGAGGAGGGACCCGACACCCGCCCTGTTCCCTGGCTGCGGGCACCCCGGCTTCCCCTCCTCGGCCGCTGCCTGCTGTGGGTGTGTTCCTACGAAAATGGGGACAAGAGACATTTTCCCTCTATTTCTCTTAGCTTTTCAGCGGCAGCTGCCCATGTGCCCAGCTTGCCTCCCAGAGGGCTGACAAAGCTATTTCTCCTTCCCTCCTCTCTCTCTTTCTTTCTCTCTCTCTCTCTTTTTTTTTTTTTTGCTTTTCCTTGGGAAGCAAATGACTCATGAAACGGTTTCTTCCCATTGAATGTTTCTTTTTATTTTTCCCCCCCTTCCTTCCCTCTCTTTGTTCCGGTTTTGCTGCTTAAATGAAGATAGTGATGGTGGTGGTTGCACATTTTCCTCGACAGAGACAGCTTGTCTTCCATTAGAGACTGTAGTTTAGGAGCCCAAGCCGTCTCATGCACGGTTGTCATTCCCTGTGGCTCCGGAGAGTAAAATATGAATTATTTTGCATGTGCCTTAGAGCAAAGAGCGGATGGGTTCCCTGTATATTCGTTGCACAGGTTCCCTCGCTGCTTGGTGGAGGAAGCCACTCTCATTTCTTCCTAAAATGTCTAATCGGTTTCTTTTAAACCTGCTCCCATTTGATGGAACACGGTACATGGCAAATTGTGTTGGTAGCTGGGGTTTGAAAGCTATTATATCCATTTTCTGCAGAAAGGAATAGAGATTGGAGTTGGCTTTGTTGTCTCGAGCCAGCGCTGGAAGCCGTAGGGATACCAGCTCACGTTCAGAGAGCCAGGAGATGATGGCATTGTGCTCCCTCTCTGCAGCCATCCTGTGCCAGGAAAGGGGAACCTGGCTGGGATATGTAGGGCACGGCGGTGAAGAGGGCCAGGGCTGTAGCAGGGGTGGGCAGGGCACCGCGGCAAGGATGTTCACAGCCTCTGTGCTGCTGAGGATGCATCTCCAAATGTGATTGTTCAGCTGTAGTACTAGCAGGGCACTGCCATGAGGGAGCTGGCAGCCTACTTGGCACTGCTGCCGGGAAGCAGATGGGCATCCCAGTGGGCATTTACAAGGCGCTGGCGTGAAGAAGCCCTCCCTGTTCTTGACGGGCTCCTTCTGGGAGGAAGCTGCAGTCCCAGCTGGATGGCGTTGTGCAGAACTGCCATGCTATCTGGTTTGTACTGGTGAAAGGTGCTGGGCTGCCTGCTTCTTCCCAGGGCAAATACCGCACGGGCAACCACAGTCTGCACTTCTGCTTGCACCGCCTGGCTTCATGCAACCTCTGGAGTGACACTATACGGACCTCCCTTCCATGCCTCTTCAGCCACGGGGCTGTCTAAGACCGCCAGTGAACATGTCATGACTTTGATGGAGAGCCCAGCAGCTCAGTTTTTCTAGGCCACCAAACAGCCATCGGATGGGATCTGGCTGGGACTCGTCACCCGCCTGCATCCAGCTGGTGCAGGGGCTGGAGGGTGTGCCTGCGTGGCACACGTTACATGAAGTAGCTTGGGTACCAGATGCAGTGTAATCACCGGTGACCTAATTTACCCAGCTGAGAAGCTTGTTTAGAGGGAGCTTGGGTAGAGACATACCCAGGCAGCTTTGGAGATGGGAAAAGGGCCCCTCTTATGCCACCCCCATCCGGTTGCTAGCATCTTCCCCTGGAGGTGAGTGTCACGTGCTGTTCACTCTGTCCCCAGATCGCCAGCACCGAGGACTCCCGCGTCGCCTGCCGCCCGCTCTCACGTGAGCCATGTCTTCCTCCGACGAAGAGACTCTCAGCGAGAGGTCGTGCCGAAGCGAGAGGTCGTGTCGGAGCGAGCGGTCATACCGGAGCGAGCGGTCGGGCAGTCTGTCTCCCTGCCCCGCCGGGGACACCTTGCCCTGGAATTTACCCCTCCATGAGCAGAAGAAGCGCAAGAGCCAGGATTCTGTGCTGGACCCGGCCGAGCGAGCTGTTGTCAGAGTAGCTGGTAAGGACATTGCCATTACAGTTGTGTCCCTATTGCTTTTGGGGTGGAAGGACGTGGGGCGGGGGCCCGTCAGCCTGGGCCTGGGGCTGTCCATCCTTCTAAGGAGGCTGGACCCGGCTCCTTTTGGCAGGGTTGCTTGAGAGCGATCTGACCTCTCTGAAGTGCTCTGAGCCATTTGCAAGCCTGGGGGGCCTGAGGTGGGAGTCTCTGCATGGCAGAGCTCTGTGTGGTCCTCGGAGCACTGGCTGGGCTCCGTCACATAGGGTGAGGGCAGTCCGTGGCCATGCCACGGTGCAGGGCATGACGGGAGCTCCCTGCTCGGAGATGGTCTGAGATGCCTCAGGCCTTGTCTGATCTGGAAGAGCTGGGGCTGGACGTGACCGTTGGGGCAGTTCCCACCAGCATGGGACGCCACGCGGTAGACCTCCGGTGTCGTTGCGGGCGGCGAGGGGTCCACTTTCTGCCAGTGCAGACACAGCCTCCCTGTCATTGTGGGTCGAGCTGGAGCTTGCTGCGGGGATGCTCAGGTTTCTAGTGACCTGAGGACATTTCCCAGACTGGATGAAACCCTTTGCTCTCCCTGTAAGCCTTGGGCCAGGAGACGAGGGGCAAAATTCAATGAACAGAGCTGGCTTGGGGGGGGCAGGGGGGAAGGGGCTGCTCCTCATTGCATTTCTGGTTCATACGTGCCCTCCCCGTCTCCTGCACAAAGAGGTCAAGGGCCCTGGTGTTTTCATAACCCTCGGGACATCACACTAAGGTCAGCGGTGGCATGCGGCAAGGACCCAGTCTTTGAGATGCAGCCCCGTGGCAATGAATATCCCTCCTTGACCAGCCATAGATGGGAGGCAGTGGTGGCTGGACATAAAATCAAGGGCGGGGGGTGCATGGTGCATTCTCGGTCCCCGTGGTGCCTATCTGGGAGTGTTTGTGCTGGGTGATTTCAATCAAGCCTTGTGGAGAGGTTGGGGGCTAGCAGTGGGAACCAAGTCACTGCTTTTTGGGGTGAAGGGTGGAAGGGACCTGTCATCCCATGTGGAGCCCAGAGGGCTGGGAGCTGGAGGAGGGTGCATTGTTCTTCATTGCTTTCCTGGCTGCCTTGTCCTCTGGCGCCGGGCTTGTGGCTGTTAGTTGTCACTATTGACTGTGCCGTTAGGGGGTGGCTGGGCCTCTGGAGCTCTTGCACTGGTGTAAGTCAGACTAAGAGAAAGACTTAACAAGGCCAAAAGGATCCCTGGAGGAAGAGCTCCCGGGAAGTCAGTGGCGTGGTCCTTGGCGGGTGGATTTGGCTCCCAAGGTTTCTAATTTAATTCCAGTTTCCTCCTGTCGTGGTTTATGCTGAGTGATCTCACGTCATGGGGATCCGATGTCCCATGCGGTCCCTTGGTGGCTGTGCTGTTACTTGGACGCTGTGTCCCACGTGCCAGGGGCTGTTCTCTTGTCAGGGGCCCCAGTTCCATCGTCATGGGGACACGGTGTTTCATGGGACCTATTGGCCGTTCCATGGTCATGGGGATGGCATGTCTCATAAGGCTGTAGTCCTTGGGTGTCATGGCTACTCTATGACCGATGGTGCCCCTTGTTCTGTTGGCATGGTGACTGTCCTAGAGCCTGCTGGCTGTTCCGTTGTCAAGGGGACCTTGTTGCATGGGGCTTGGTGGCCCTTCTAATGTCACCCACGCAGTCAAACCCATTTGTGCAGAGGGAATCCAGGCCCCGTTCCCTGCAGCTGGCCGTGGGGCTGAAGTGGGCTGGGGTCAGGCATCAGAAGTCTGGCTCTTCACGTAGGAAATGTGCAGTGCCAGGGACAGGTCTGGGCCAGAAGCAGGTTACTTCTTCACTGGCTGCTGGCGAATCTCTCCCCCTGCCCCAGAGCCGTGCCTATAGACCTGCCAGAGCCCTCGATCTCGTGCTCCATCCCAGCTGCCACGGGAGGGGAAGCTGCCAGACTCCCTCTCCCCAGTGTAGGGTGCTTTGAACTACCCTTGGGAGGGGAGAGAAAAAGAAACTAAGGTCCAGGTGCCCACACAGGGGTCTTGGAGCCCCCCCAGGGAGAGGTCTGAGTGGGGTCTGGCATCTGCCCCTGGACACCGGGGCTTTTTCAGAAGGATCAGGTTGGGTAACCAACACCACCAGGCACTTTGGAGAAGCTCAGCCTCTGTCTAATGAATGTGTCCCCTTGGGCCAGGCCCTTCTGCCCCTGTCGGGGGACCTGACACCCCCCAGCAGCTGCAGCTGTTGGGGGAAGATGGAGGACACTTTGTACTGGGCATCTCCTGGGTGGGCAGTGACCCCAGTTGCTCTTCGAGGACCCTGGCTGCCAAGAGGAAGCCCTCCCCCTCGAATATCATTAGAAGGAGCATTAGAAGGGCTTGTTCTTCCCATCAGACAGAGGAGCGAATCCTCCCCAAATGAATGCCCAGTTGCTCCTGTTTCCCACCTGACCCCTTTCCCACAAGCCTGAGTCCAGGACTTGCCCACGCTGTAGTCTCAGGCCTGGCATGGCGGCACTGGGGGCAGGGACCAGTGCTCTATTAGCATCCATACAGCGCCTGCACCTGGACCTCTGTGTTGACTCTGTATCATGAGGACAGACATCCCCGGGGTGACAGTAAAGGTCTGTCTGTCTCTGGTCCTGGAAAAGGGATGTGGGCTGCCTCTCTGGGACCCGCATGTTCCCTACAGTGAGCTATAAAAACCCAATTTTGCACAGCACTGGTCACCTCCTAGGAAGAGCTGAGCACCCTCTTTTCCCACTGGTGCGGGTCTAACTGGGAGAGATGGGAGACAAGCCCTGCTGCTCCCTCAATCGTGTGTTTGCTCTGATCTTTCCTGCCTCTCCGTAAGGCTGGGGAGCGTCGTCACACGGGGCCGATCCAGCCCATGATGAAAGGCAAGGGGCTGTCATCTCATCTGGTCTCATGCAGATTTCACATTAAAAATAACTCGCGAGTCGCAGCCAGGCCGTGCTCGGCAAGGAAGAAAGCAGTTCAGGCAGCTTCGTGCCAACAGGGTTGAAAACAGGTTGAAATATTAATACGGCCGTTTGCATTATGGATGGGGACCTTTCCCAGAGGCTGCACCGATGCACAAGCGGATGTGACCTCCAAATACTTCTGGGACCGGTGCCACCCTGCAAGGCAGCCGGGCACCTGGGTTTCCATCTGCACCCGGGGCCTTGCCCCTTGTCCGAGATCAGTTAGACTTGTGCCAGCTGTCTCTGCCAGACCAGGCACCTCTTGGTACCAGGCGGGTGGAGCTAATGGCGTTTTACCGCCTGCCATGAAAAACGCTCCTGCCTGTTTCGCAAGGGGGTTGTGGATGCCTGGCTGTGGCTCTGGCCCCACCTGCCCCTAGGACTGGCTCGGCTCTCCAGGCTGGTCATTTGAGGAGGGGGAGCTGGTTCGGGATTCAGCTCCGTGGGAGGCTGAACGCTGCCTCGCTTTGCTCTGCCAGTCCTGTCGTCTGGCTGCAGCGCTTGGCGCTCGCCGCCAGTGGAACAGGCGCATATTGAACCACTTGGGCTGGATCGCAGCTGCAGCGGGTCACGGGGTGCAGGGAGAATTGTCTTTTATCCACTGCTGGCTCCTGTGCATTTCCCAGGGAGTATCAGCGGGGAGCGACTGGCTGCCAGGGCCAATGCCTGGGCTCTGTGGGCCCGCTTGCCTGCGGTCTCCACCTCTCTTCTTCCTCACTTTCTTTGCTTCCCCTGCCCTGCCTCTCTCCCAACAGACACCTTGGGACCTCCCCTCCCTGCCCAGAGCCAGCAGTACCAGAGGGCAGAGGACTGATCAGCAAGACCCTTCCACGACCTACCTGGGACAGGGACAGGCCTGTGTCTTGGGAGAGGAGGGACCCCGTCTCCATCCCAGATGCAGCGGTCCAGGAAAGGGAAGGACACCTGATGTCATGGCTCAGACACAGAGCCAAGCCTTGTCCCCAGCTTCTGCCCCAGACTTCTGCGTCTTGGGGGCAGTCGCTTAGCCGTGGGGTCAGTTTTGCCCTCCTGCCTAGCAGTCCATTGGGCTAGTGCAATTCAGGCCCAGCAGTTTTTGCAGCCAGTGGCACACAAGGGAAGGATGTGGCTGGAATGAATGACATAGCTACTGATTTACAGCGAGGCTGATTGACAGCCTCTGGCTGGAGCCCAGAGCAAGGCTTCTTCGACTCGTGTTTCTGGAGCTGTTAGGAGCCACCGTAATTGCTCGGCTCCCCTCCCCCATTCCCTCTGCTCGAGGGAGATGGTAATGCAGACCCAGCTCCCCGCGGGGTTTGGATCATGACTCCTTGTGCAGCGCTGAAATAGCAGGCACTGTCCCTGCACCGGCTCTTTTTATTGCTGGCTGTCTCCAGCCGGACGATTTAACAGGGGTGCGGTGGACTCGCCATCATGTCAGACCTGTACCTGGCCTTTCCAAAAGGCACCTTCTAGTTCAGCTGGGAGGGACTGGGCCGGAGTAGAGGAATCGCAGGGTGGTGGTAGGCAGGGGGGCAGCGCCCGGGGGGGCTGCAGATCTCTGAATCAGCGGAAGTGGAAGGATGAGGCACCTGCCCCAGGGAGATGAAACCCAGCTAAGCGATCATATGCTGGGGGGGAGGAAGCATGAACAGGAGGGAACTGCTGTGCAAGGGACGGAGTGGTGCCCGCTGAGCACAGCTCCCCTCGTTGCCTGGTAGCTGCGTATGAGAGGGCTTCGCAGGCACCCTCTGTGCAGCAGGTCTGCCCTGACCCCCCGGGTGGTCCCCACCACATGCACCCGGGCATGTGGGAGAGCCTGGTCCTTTCTCCTGGCTCAGCTACTGCAGCTGTTCCTACAAGGTCTCAGCCATGCTGAAATCCTGCTGGAGCTAAAGAGGCATTTGGGGCATTCCCCTGGCAGCACCTGGCTTGTTCATAGACTTCATCCTCGAGGCTGGGTGGGGAGCGGAGCAAAGGGGCTTTTGTGGGGCAGCCTGGCTGGGACCAGCGTTGCGTGGGATCTCCAGACGAGATGGAGCCG